TTTCTTTCCTTGTTTATTTTGTTGTTCAAGCTGCTATTGTTGCAGGTTTTCTTGCAACTGCTGTTGTCTCTCTTCTTGTTTCTTTTGCTGTTCTTGTATTGCTGCCATCAAGTCTGCTAAGCTGTAGTTTGATTTTCCGCCTCTCGTTTACATTTTTTTTTCATCCCACTTCTGACACCAATTTGTTACGTCTCCGTTCGTTAATTAAGTTTCCGTAACTTCGTTCCGACGAGACTTTAGCGACACAAGCCCTTACTTAATAAAACTGCCTTATTTGCTGTGGGCAGCAGTGTTGCAAGTGACACATTGATTTCTTTCTAACATTGGTTTCCCGACTGTCATCTAATTAAGCAATATTGCAAAAATATGGTTAACTCCCGAGACCATTTTATTCTGTGGTCTTTTCCGAGCTGTACCTGTATCTACATATTGGCTTTATTTGCATGTGATGTCACAGAGATGGTCTAATTGTTTTCTTGAATATGCATATTTATCTATTGGTAAGCTGCTTATATATCAACTTATAAACTGATGGATATTCTAAAGCAATGATTCAAATGTTTTTTGCTCTTGTTATTGTTAATTTCCATGCCCAGTTTTACTAACAAGTTGTTTGTCCATCTTACCATTTACTCAAAATTATCCATGAAGATTTTGGAAGAAAGAATGGCAGAAATGCATTGTAGAACTTGATATATAGTTTGAAAGAATGTAAGGACTTTGAAGGTCTCATCAATTCCAGGCAACTGTTATACCTTTGTGAAAATATTACCAAATAAACCAAGTTAGATGTATTTCTATTGTTTCCACCCCCAGTAGCCAGCGGTAAGTCTGGAGGCTTCTAATGCTAAAAAGCGAGGTTTTATAGCCATAGTTGGCACAGCACAGATAGCCCATTGAGTAGCTTTGCATTTAACAACAAACATTCAATCTATTGTTTCCACCTATTACACACCATGCATGTCATTATACACAAGAATACCACTCAAGCTCATGTGCATATTTTGTATTTGATGTGAATATTTTTATAAAATACAATATAACCAAGTTATTCCTATATATTGTTCACCATGCATACAAAGAACCTAAAGATACGTATATACTATATCAAGACTAGTCTTGTTCTTTAGATTTGCCCTTTCCAGGGTTAATGATGAAACTGATATAACTCAATGACAAGTAGTGAATTGAATGATAGATTATACTACATATTTATGCTTAAAACATATATAATATTTGTTGTATCAATGCATGGTACAGTTTAATTCGAAACTTCACCTAGAATTCAACATTAAGATTTATATATCAACGTGACATGACCATACATCTAAGGCTATAAGAAACATTAGATAGCACTATACTTTTCACACTAGTAACTGAACATCACATCAGTATTTCCAGATGATCAAAATAGTACCCATAATTAAAGTATCTGTTGGTTTAAGATAAATATTTTTATGCTAGTTTTCAAAGAGTAGCCAATACTAATATGTACTTAATGATTTGCACGTATATACTTCATTAATATCTTGACAATGGGGAGGAGAGGAGAGCATATGCAACCCTTCCAATCATTTTTTGGTCCCCTGTTCCATATGAAAGCATGTACTTTGGTCTTTTCCATATAATACTAATAACTGTGAGAGTAACTTGAATTCTAAGATCATTAACATGGTGATTTGGCAACCATAATTAACGATTCTCACTGTAAATAGCAGTAGCAGCAAATATTTTTTGTTCTTATTATGAATGGTTGTTTGGCAGAAAAAATCTAACATTTAACTTGGATAATATTGGAGTAATAAAGTAAGCTATTATATTAAAAAATATGTTGCTGATCGATCTGCAAGCCCTAATTGTATATGGTGTTATAAAATTCACGAGGTTGTTCCTAAAAATTTCAAAATGATTCTTTCCCAGCACTGAGGAAGGTACAATAAATCCTTATCTTTAGTATCTATAATTTTCTGTAACTCCATGTACAAAATTAGCTTCATATTTCTGTGCACATTTTAATGTCAGATGTACATGTACGATTAAAATCATTATTTATGATATTCCCAGTGTCCATGGTGGTGATTCAACAAATAAATAACATGTGGCACAGCGGTATATCTGCGGACTTACAATGCTAGAATCCGGGTTTCGATACCCGTGGTGGGCAGAACACAGATAGCCCATTGTGTAGCTTTATGTTTAATTACAAGTAAACAAACAATTATTATCTGTTTTTGGATTGTTCCCCTAAAAAACACTCCTGGTAAGCACAAGTAGATTAGTGTGGTTATAAATTTTAGGGTGCTAGCACC